GTTTGGTTGCACAAATGAACAATGAGCTAAGGGAAGGGACCCACCTTTGAAAGAACTCCTGTGTTTCAGGGGCTGAGCTAATACTTCATTTACATCGTCATTTAGTTGTCCCACGTCAATAGTGCGGTGGCTATTGTTGCTCTCATTTTACAGACGAGGAAACTGAGTCTCAAAGAGGAGCCGTCTCATGCCCGAAGTCACACACTGACCAAGACGCAGAGCCACATTTCGCACATGGACTTTTCCCCACTTATTTTCCACTACTGCACCCAGCCAGCCTGTTGAGGCAAGGTTGTCTGGGTTTAAGTCCCAACCCCCCTCCATTCTTGCTAGTATTTGTAAAGTTCACTGGGATTGCTCATCTAAAATTCCGAGAATGTGGCATCCAACCCAAGCAGTGGACAGGTAAAGAGCATTTCATTCCATCCTTCTCTAAGTGCTGGGCTGGAGTTTAAGCGCCTGGGCACCATGGCGATGCAAGCTCTGTAAATACCCGAGGGAGGCTTCCTCCAGCCAGCCGGCTGGTTACTGCACTTACACCCCCACCCATTTCCCACCAGGGCTCCTCTTCTGCTCTTGGGGCGGGGGTGGAGGGAAGCACTGCTTTGCAGCAACTCCCTGCCTCCTCACACTTTCTCCCCCCCACCTTTGAAACTGAGATTTCATCTCCACCTCCTCCTTCAGTGCATAATTCATTTCCTCATTGGTTAAAGACTCAACAGCGACCAGCCCCCAGTACCCAGAGGACTCTTGGATGAGAGTCGAAATCGCTCCTGCCAGTCCCAGGATAGCCTCCCATCCAGAAGAAATCCAGTTCACTTAATGAATGAACAGCAAGGAAAAAAGGGGGAGGCAGGGAGGCAAGCAGCATAGGGAGCAAAGTGCCCCTCCTTCCACAGAGACAGAGGAGCCTGTTAAATCCCCTGAGATCTAAACCCCAGGTGGGTCTTGTTGACAGCACTGGTGGAGGTCACGAATCAGGTTGGTTTATCTCCAGCTTAGAATTCAGAACCCCCACCTTGACCCTGCCCCTCTCAGGGTTGTAAACTCAGCTGACCTCAGCATGCCCCCTCCCACTACTCCAAATAGATATACCATCCAAACGAAAGCAAGTGCCAGACTGTCTCCTGTCTGCTCCTCCACCCTCTTACAACCAAACTATGCCCTGAAGTTCCTTTATCATTGGCATTTTAGAGCCCACATGAATTCAGAAGCAGAAACCCACTGGAAGGAGCTGATTTGGAGTCTTGGCTCTATTATTTACTAATTACTATAGGAAAATCACTTTGTCTCTCTGTGTCTCGGTTTACACATCTGTAAAATGGGACTAATGAGAATCAGGGCAGTGAATTTCTTCATAGAAACTCCACCTATTTTTAAAATGAATAAGCAGTCCTAGACTTATTTCGATTTATTATCAAGCGCTGTATTAAGCACTGAGGACCCAGGGATGAATAAGAAACATCTCTTCAGCATTAGCACTCCCACTGCCACGGTTTCTTCCACCCTAACTTTCCCTGGCTTAAGACCTTTTGTCCCATCATTGAAAAAAACAGTCCATGGGCCCAATTATGAACCAAAATAATGCATGACTAAAGAAAGGGGGCATTATTGGCTTAGTCCTATAAATCTGTGTGCATCCACAGGAGTGTGTGGGAGGGACAGCATGAGGTGGGAGGCACATGGAATCATGGAGTCAGAAGAAAACTCCCAGCCACGTTTCCACAGCCTCCATTTCCTTCAAGAATGTAGAAGCTAACAGGAAACTACTGCTGGTCTATCTGAGTTTTTTTTTCAAGCTTAATTTTTCCTCCCTACCATCTTCATGAAATGTGTTATCCTTCCATTCTGAAATTTTCTGAAATGTGTGTGGAAACTGGCCTTTCTTCTTGCTGCTGCTGCAGTTGGGCAAAGGATTTTAAAAACAAGATAACCCTGTCCCAGACTCTGGTGTCTCCTACAGGCCACCTGGGTATGAAAGCAAATGAAGAAAGGCTTGTCCTGTGGTCACTTTGGCTCCGCTCCTGTGCTGGCCATGCCTCCGACTCAGCTCCCAGGAGACAGGACACAGCCCCAGCAGGAAGGCCAGGAGAGGCTGGGCTTCTTGTCTTCAGGTCAGATTCCTGCAGTTCAGTCACCTGTAGAATAATGTCTAATTCGAGCTTTCACGTGGCTGAGCCGGTTTTACCTTTAATCCCTTTCACGTTTGTCCTCAGCCTTGAGGAATGCCTGGGGATGATTCACGCCGTCACATGGGGCAGGCAGTCGTCTGTTTTATTACCTCACCCTGCTTGCAGCTTCTGGGAGATAACCTAAGATTCTTTGTTGTAGGGAGTGGGGAGGAAGAAAGGAGGATGGACTAGCAGACAAGGCTTTAAGGAGGCAATTCCTGCTCTGGCCTCACCTTCCTACTCCCCAGCTCAGGTCTGCAGGTCCAAAGGAACAAGGCATTTGGAAAATGTCAGGGCTTGGGCATCTGGGCTAAAAAGAAAGTTGGGTTTGGCAGCCTGGAAGGTGTTTTCCCTTTACAACCAACACCAATCAGTGAAAAGGCTTGCTTGCAAAAGAAGACAGAAATGAAATCAGCAGTTAAGAAGATTGTCACAAGCAGCTATGCACGATTTTCTGGAGGGGAAAGGACATGGACTTGTGTTTGGACTAGAAAATACCCCCCTGATTCATACTGATGTGCTTTCGCCAAGAATGGTGCTCTGAATGCATCACAATGAGCCCACCTCCCCCCTTAGATGATGGCTTCCTGCCGAGCCCCAAGCCCTCTACATTTCTCACCTCCTTTAGCCCTCACAGCAAGCCCTACAGAGTCTGTATTATTATGATGCTTTTCAGACCTAAGATTGAGACTTTGTAAAGCAAATTATTCCAGATCACATGGCCAGAAAATAGGGCTGGTTTGAGACCTAAACAAACCTATTCCAGAGCTCTTGCTTCTCAGCCACAAATTTATGAAGCAAGCATCAAAAAAGACAAGTGTCCATCAACATCCATAATATTCCAGATCCAGACCATGGGTAAGTCCAAGAGTTGCAGAATAATTAAAAAAGAAAGAAGTATAGGTTCATGGTGGACAGTACAAGTGCTGGGGTTAGTCGGACCTGGATCCACTTATTAGCTCTGTAGCCCTGGCCAACAAAACAGCATCTTGGAGCCTCAGTTTTCTCATCAGTAAAATGGGTATAGTAAGTATTCCCTACTCCAGAGGGCTCTTGTGAGGATTTGTGTGTGAAGCATCTAAGACCATGTTGGCTTTCCTTTTGCACTATTGCCCTAATCAATCAGGGGAAGTTTTTACATAGTGAAGGCTTGGCCCAAGCACAGGAAGTGAAGAGGGCCTTGGGAATTCCTCATAAAAGGATGAGGAACTACTTTTGAGTGTTGAGGCCCGTCTGAGGTCCACGATTTTGGACTTTGGTGCGTGGCATCTATGGAATGAAGGAGGGAAGGAAGGGCCAGACACTGAGCCCTAGGTCTGGCCTCAGGGAAGTGACTGACTTTGTGAAAGGCCCTTGGAGGTGAGGAGCTGACAAGGCTGATGAGGCCACAAGCATGGGATCCTTTCTCTTGTTCTGCACACTCTGGCCCACACAGCATAGGATGATGGCACCTCTGGGAGACTGTGGGGCTCAGACAAGAGTACACACCACTCTGGGCTTCATTCCTCCAGTCCAGCTTCCTGTCATACGTTCAAGCAAAAAATGGTTAAACAGGTGTTCAGAAAACACAAGCCAGTTGATCCTTAACTCAGTACATGCTACCTTCTTTTTTGAACTTAATTATATACTTTTAATTTTTCAAGAAATATTGTCTGATTTTTCGATTTTTTCTGATTTTTGTCAAAATGGAATTTTGCTTTACTTTCTTCTTAGTCATAATCCTCTTCCCCAAATCCCTAACATTCCTACCTCAAAGCATCACAGGAGATAATGCATGTGAAGCTGCTAGCCCACAGCCTAACACAGGTTAAGTACTCAATTTAGCTGACAACATCATTACTATTACTTTTGCCAAGTGCTTCCCTTGACACCTTCTGAAAGTCCTCCTGGGGGAGGGGATCCAGAGCACTCCTAATTTTAAGGACCCTGAGGACAGCCAGCTACGTTTGCAAATACCAGGGGTGGAGGATGGGTGAAATAACAGAGGTAGAAGACTGTCATAAGAGGGAGACAGATGGTGCGTGTGTTGGGGGAAGGGATCAGAAATCCTGGAAAACTTCTGTTCCCCCATTTGCAAGAATGTTTCCATTTAACCACTTCTTGCCTGACTCCTGATTCTACGTGACAGAGAATCGGGGAGTTTTAAGATTTGGGGCCACCTGTGCCAGAAGCTTGGACACTCGGGGTGGAGAGAGCTTGGAGCGTTGGGAAGCAGAGGCAGTGCGGGTCTTGCTCTAACCTCCAGGGGCTCCAGTCCGTGTCCGGGACACTGGGGCGCCAAGGTAAGGGGCGGTCTCGTCTCCCTTTCCCCTAACTGGGGCGCCAAGCGGATCGGACTGTCCCACGAGGGGGCGCGTCTTGTGCCCTAGGACCCGCCCTCTTAACTCTGGGCGCGGGGAGGGGACCTGGGCGCCCGGGGCTCCGCCTCCCGTTTCCGGGGCAGCGCGGTTACCTGCACCGCCCGAGCCGCACCTGGCGGAGGCAGAAGTCGCAAACGGAGGGAGCGCAGAGCGGCGGAACGGAGAGGGACTGCGCTCGGCTGCGGGGAGGAAGAGGCGGCAGGAGCGTGGAGGGCGCAGTGCGCGGCACCGCGGAGGAGGGCCGGCGGCAGCTGCGCTTGGCTCGCTCTGCCCCGCCGGCCGGGCGCGCACCCGGGCCCGCACCGCGCCGCTGCGGGCGCACATGGCAGCGTGAGAGGCGGACGGCGGGAGTAGCGGGCGGCGCCGGGCCGGGGCCGCAGGGCCGCATGGACAGCGGCACCACCCCGGCCGGCCCCCATTAAGGCCCCCAGTCCGCGGGCGCCACCCACCACCCTGATCATGGTGCCTCGGCGGCCGCCCGGGCCCGGTACAGCCGGCCGGAGCCGCTGAGCCGGGGGCCCCCGCGGCGGCCGGGAGCTGCATGGGGGAGCGCGGGCCGCTCTCGGGAAGATGCCCCGGCCGGAGCTGCCCCTGCCGGAGGGCTGGGAGGAGGCGCGTGACTTCGACGGCAAGGTCTACTACATAGACCACACTAGCCGCACCACCAGCTGGATCGACCCGCGGGACAGGTAGGACCCCGGGGGGCCCCCTCATCCCCAGCCCCCTCCTGCCCCCGGGGCCACCAGCCGGTGCTGGGCAGGGGGTGCAGGGGAGCTCCGTGAGCCTTCTCGCGCCTTCCGCAGTTTGCCACCCGCCCCCCTTCTGGAGCTCTGTTAGTGCCCCGGTGGACTGCTGGGAGAAGCGGACGGCCAGTGAGTTGGCCCGGGCTGCCCCCTCCGCCATCCCCGGATGGAGCACTTAGGCCCCAGCCGGCACCTGCACAGTTTTGACCTTAAGCTCTAGCCCCCCACCCCATCCCTTTAGGTAGAGAGGTCGGGCGGGGACTGCGGGAGCAACCAAGCCGAACCACGCTGGGGCTTCCCGGAGAGGCTTTCCCCGGCAGTGTGTGTATTGGGAGGGGCGGAGGGTGGGTGGGGAAGCACCTGATTTGGAGAGCATGGTAGGGACCCGGGATTCAGTGGGAGACTGCTTAAGGAAGGACACTACGCGGAGGGCAAGGCAACCGGGTGTGATTTTTGACAGGTGCCTTGGAGGCTCTGAGAAGTGCACTGGAGCAGCCAGGGGGCCTGGAGGCTGGGAGTGGGAAGGAAAGGAAGGAGTGGGGGTGCTGATTGGGGAGACTGGTTCTCCAGGAATCTCACAGCAGCTTGGAAGCTTTTAGGGTGTAGATGGATGTGAGAGGCCCCTCGCAAGCCCTGTCCATCTCTTTCTCCTTCCTTTCTTCCTCTGGGGACCTGAGTTCCTCAGCCCTGCACCAGCGCGTCCTGACCTTGGTGGGCACCATGCCGGCTGTAGCAAAGGATTTTTTTTTGCTGAGGCAGGTGGAGTCTGATATGGCCATGGTGGCTCTTAGCTTCCAGACATTCTCCCGGTTTTGACTGCTTGGCATTTCTTTGCACACACACATACCTTACCCGTGTTATGTCCCGAGGGTGGGGAGAGGCCCACCCTCTGGTACAGCTTTGTTGTCCTTTGCCATCTCTGTCTATGGTCAGAGTGTCTCAGGAATGTGGAATTTTCACCTGGTCAGTGTGACCTTGGGCTGCAGGTGCCTGTAAAGCAATGGAGGTGAATCTTTTGGATCCTGCATGTTGGGCTGGGATGGAGGTCCCAGTAGTCTAGAATGGGGTGTGCAGCAAGATGAGGGTTAAGAAGAAGAAAAAGCAGAAAGAAAATATGAGTTGAGGTTCCTAGTAGTTTCTGTGAGCACTTAGGTTCATTCATTCATTAACTGGGTGCCTACTGTATGCTCCCTACCAGGCTGAATGTTTCATCAATGTAATATGGAAGAGAAATTTTTGATCCTCAAGGGCATCCCTCAGGCAAGCTGCTTTAACCTCTGAGCCTCAATTTCCCTATTTGTCAGTTTAACAGTTTGCTTGGAAGGGAAGAGTAATAATAGAAACTCTTAAAAGTTGCAAGGGACATAGAGTATCCGAGCCCAACTCTGATTTGCAAATTAAGAGAAAGTTTAAGGCCCAAAGGTGTAATTTGCTCAGTATTTTTGTCTTTTCACCACTTTGATCTTTCCACCACTCTGCTGTTCATCAAGTTCTTTAGCAGTTCTGTAGTTACGACCTCAAAACATATCCTGACTCTTTCCTTCCCCGCTCCTCAGGGTCAGTTGCCCCAGGGACTCAGTTACTGTGTTGGCAAACTGAGCAGCCCCTTGCCCTTCCCTACGACAGACACAAGTGCTTCTGTGTGCTCCGCCAGTGTAGGTCGCTGCAGCTTACTGAGGCCCATGTGCTGCCAGCAGTTGGATGTCAGAGGGCTAGGACAGCCCCATATCCAGCCCCGGTTTTGCATCTGGAGACTTTTCTAGGACTCTGAAAGGATAGATAATAGAGCTACAGAAAAGCTTTTCAAACAACAGTACGTTTTTATCCTTGGGAAGAAAGCAAGAAGTACAGCTTGAGTGGGAAACTGACTTGTTCAGAGCATTAATTTCCCAAATTTTTGTACTATTTGGACCACTTTTATGATTTTTTGGTACATCTACCTGGGTTATAGCTTACTTATACTTGGCTTTAAATCAACACAATCTGAAATGTTTGAGCCATTTTCACAAATGGAAACTAGTAATGTCTATGGCCATAAATGGAAGAGATCCTTAAAAATAAAGTGGAGAAGAAAAAAAAAAAAACAGTGCCATTATGCTCTAGCTCAGTATCATTTGTGGCTTGCCCACAGCCCCAGCAACAGGTCTGCCCAGCCTTTGTTTTAGGCAGATTGGCAAGCAATGGAGAGGATCAAAAACATACTGATGCTTAACTGAGCTGCTCCCTTTTTTCACCTTGTAAGTCATTGGTTGTAATGCTGTATCTTTGTACCTCCTGGGCATCCCACTCACACTGGGCTGATGTGGGATCCCTGGGCTTGGTGTAGTGAGGGGTTCTGAACACAACTCTGAGGTCACTGTTGTAGTGTGCCAACTTAAAAAATTGGGGGAGAAGAGCGGAGCAGAGAGCATCCACTTGTAGCTCCCTGGAATTTCTCTCTTGTACACCCACTTAGGGATTTCTGCCTTTCAGTCCTGCCTGCGACACCTCAGCCCAATCTCTTGACCGCTTTGAGGTGTGGGGAGGAAGCTATGGGGAGGAGGAAAAAATTTAATAAAAGCCAAAAAAAGACAGACTTCTTTGAGGTAGTGGGGCAGGGGAGATCAGTTCTGCCAAGGTAATTACATCTCTGCAACTGGTTTACGCTGTCAATCAAAAAAAAATCATATTAAAAAAAATTCTACTCTTTGTGTGTGTATGTGTTTGCTGGTGTTTATCTTGGCCTTTTCCTTACCTGAATCAAGGAGATGCCCACCCATTCCCCCGAATTTAATAGAAGTCTATCAAATAATGCTTCAGTCAGAAAAGTGATTTCTTAGCCACTGAGAACAAAATAGCATCTCAGGTTACCAACCCTGAAGAATGTCTTGGCACATTCCTCCCTCTGGGCCGAGCTGTTTTGTGTGCTTGCTGTCCGGCATGGAGGCTGCTGGGGGTAGGGAATCCAGTTTTCAGCTCCCCTTTCACCAGGGGATTGGAAGAGCAGCCAGGCAGTCAGCCTTGCCAACTCTTTCCCCTTCTCACCCAGGGGAAGACTGGGAGGCCGAAATTCCTGAGGACGGTTGTCCCAACAACTGGAGAAGGTTCAAGTGGGCAGCTTGGGTCCTGCCTACTGGGCCAAAGGCTGCAGCAGCATATGGAGGGGCTCCTCCTGCGGCAGGGCTGGTCTGGGAGGGTGCGTGCTCCGTGGGGAGTCAGGTGTGCATAGCCCCTTGGAGCCGGCTTCCTGTAACAGAATACCTCCAGGTGCTTCTGGGAGCTCCCAGCAAAGGGCCAGCATTCCATGTGTATTCAACTTAGTGGTATGCAAAAACAAATAGGCTGATTGTTCTCTGAAGAAGAATGGATTATTTGAACTGGCCTTGCCAGAGAAGGTTCTGGAAGCCTAACTCCTGCTCATTCTGTGGTTTGTGTTCAGCCCTTCTTCCAGGAACTACCTGGGGACTCTGTGGGTGCAGTTTCTGGGTCTGTGTAATAAGTGTTGGAGACCCACATGGCTGAGAGGACTCTTCTACTTCCATCCTGACTTGAGGAGAAACCTGTGCTAACCCTGTTTCAGAAACGATTTATATTGTGGAAATTGGGTCTACAGCAGTCATGAGATCTTTACCTCATTCTGGTCATAGACCCTTATAAGAATCTTGACAAAGGATGCTTTCTGAAGAAAAATGGAAACACTTTTAGGCAAATAATTTCAAGGGGCTCATGGACCCCAGGTTCCAGGACCCCAGGTTCCAGGACCCCCATCCAACTCCTGCCATAGATTAACTGAGAAACTGCTTGTCACTACTTGTATGCCCTCTTGTTTAGCTAGGTAGGAAATACTGATGGAGCATTTATTGTATTCAGGCAGTCTGCTGAGAGCTTTTCGTGGGTGATTGCTTTTAATCCTCCTGACAATCCCTGGAATAGGTACATGAGGAATTATCTACCCAAGGAACCTGAGGCTCACAGGAGCTGAGTTTGGTGAAAGCCACTCAGCTTTCATGGAGCTGAGGTATGAATACTAGGTATACTGCTTCCAGAACCCACATTTCTAACCACTGCATCACTCAGCTGCCTGCTGAATTAGTTGTTGAATCAAAACTTCTGCTCCATCGCTGAAGGGATTTGGTGTTGGGGAATGGAGCTGGGACAGGCATGGTTTCACTTACCTGCAGCCATGCTGGTGGGCCAGGCCACAGTCAACCAGAGACCAAGTGTGGACAATGGAAAGAGGTTGAGCCTTTGGATCCTGGCATCCTGGGTCTGCTGCTTGCCACCTGAGTGACCCTGGCAAGTTAAATATTCCTTCTGAGCTTTGGTTTTGTTTTCTCTATGATAGGGAGATGCACATAAGCTGTCAAGGGCAGTTATGAGCATTAAATAAGCTAAATCAGGTAGGGCAGTTTGCACAGCGCCTGACATGCAGTAGGCCAAGCAATGCCAATTCTCTTAGCTTTTACCAGAAAGTGCCTATGAAACACTTAAGTCGAATGGCAACTGAGTCTCTACCTGGCTCTGTAGTAGTTGGCAGCTGAAATGGACCTTGCTGATCATGTAATCCAACCCTCTATTTGATGGATTAAACAGGCTCAGAGACAAATGACTTGCCCACAATCACACAGCAAATAAATGTCAACCTTGAGTCTCCAGTAAAGGTCTCCTTTCCTCTTTCTTTCATGTAAATATTTCCCTAAGCATCAGATCCAGTTTCTCCTCATCCATGGTAAGGATTTGGGAATATCTTATGCTTGTGGCTGTTATTCTTCATAATTCTTTTTGACTGTGCAGACCAGCAAGTTTTTTTCATAGTGTCAAGATCATTTGTGAGTTGTGTGGCAGGAATTTGTTATATGTTGTACAGTTAGTACTGTTCACAGCAATTGCAAGTGAATTGCTATTTTTATAATCAGTTAAAATGGATTTAAGGTTATTGTCAGACTAATGTCATTTTCTACCAATTT